ACAGAGTAAAGCTCTCCTTACACTGTCCCCTCAAACACTCCCAGGACTGGAACAGCACAGGGTTAGGTACAGAGTAAAGGTCCCTCATGGTAGGCTCATCCAACAGATTAAGATGCATAGAAGATAGCAGGTAGTAGTGGAAGGGTGTTTGTCAGGCTGGAGGTCCGTGATTAGTGATGTTCTGCATGGATCCGTACTGGGACTCTGCTGTTTATGATATATATATCTAAATGACTTGGATGAAAATGTAGATGGGTGGGTTAGTAAGTTTGCAGACGATACAAAGGTCAGTGAAGTTGTGGACAGTGTAGAAGGTTGTCAAAGGATACAGTGGGATATAGATCAGTTGCAGATATGGGCAGAAAAATGGCAGATGGCATTTGATTGGATACGTGTGAGGTGCTGCATATGGGGAGATCAAATGTTAAGAAAAGTATACAGTATTGACGTACAGAAGGATCTTGGGGTTCAAATCCATAGCTTGCTGAAAGTGGACACAGGTAGATAGGGTGGTAAAGAAAACGTATGGCATACTTGCCTTTATTGGTCGGGGAATTGAGTACAAGAGTCAGGATGTCATGCTGCAGCTTTATAAGACTTTGGTTTGGCCACGCTGAGAGTATTGCATTCAGTTCTGGTTGCCATGTTACAGAAAGGATGTGGAGGCTTTGGAGAGCGTGCAGAAGAGGTTTACCAGGATGCTGCCTGGATTAGAGGGTATGAGCTATAAGGAGAGGCAAGAAAACTCGGGCTGTTTTCTCTGGGGCAGCGGTGGCTGAGGGGAGATTTGATAGAAGTCTATAATATTATGAGATGCATAGATAGGGTTGGCAGTCAGAATCTTTTTCCCAGAGATAAAATGTCGAAAAGTAGGGGGGGCATGAATTTAAAGTTAGAGGGGGCATGTTTTTTAACAAAGAGAGTGGTAGGAGTCTGGAATGCGCTGCCAGGGGCGATGGTGGAGGCAGGTATGATAAGGGCATTTAAGGGACTTTTAGATAAGCACATGAATATGCAAGGAATGGAGAGATATGGACCAAGGGCAGGCAGAAGGAATTACCTTAATGTGTCGTTATGTTTGGCACAATGTCATGGGGTGAAGGGCCCTTTCCTGTGTTGTACGGTTCTGTGTTCAATGTTCTACACTGTCCCCATCAAACATTCCCAGGACAGGGGCAGCACAGGGTTAGACACAGTGTAAAGCTCTCTCTACACTGTTCACCCTCATCAAACATTTCCAGGGCAGGGACAGCACAAGGTGACAGAGTGACCCATATGTTCAATGATTGTGGGTGGGGGGGTGGGATCGTGCAGCCGTGATTGTTGAATGATCAGCCCCCACCAGCAGGAATGAGTGGAGGTAGAGCTGGTGGGGGTGTCGAGTGTTGGTGCTGGGGATGGGGAGGGTGGTGTGGAGGGGTGTTGGTGCTGTGGTGGGGGGGGGG